ATAGGAATTAAAATTGTTAAAGCAATTTTTAAAAATGAATTTCAAGCCAAGGAGGGAGAGACCAGGGACTCCATAGGTTCAGATAAGGTTTTGTGCAGTCTCTGGACTGTGAATCCTCACATAAACTGGGGCACAGCGGGGAGTGGAACACACTAGCAGTTAGGTATAATGAAAAAGTTGTGGTTATATTTAAGAGTTCTTAATCATTCAGATATACATATGAAATACTTACAAACTGAGGAACTTGCCATCTAGGACTCATTTCAAGATGTATCAAGGTGGGCCTGTAGCAGGTGAAGCTGCCGCCTGAAGTGCTGGCATCCCATATGGGCACCGGTTCAAGTCCTGGCTGCTCCTCTTCCAATCCAGCTCTCTGCTATGGCCTGGGAAAGCAGTGGAAGATGGCCCAACTCCTTGGGCCCCTGCACCCACATGGGAGACCCGGAAGAAGCTCCTAGCTTCAGATCGGCCTAGCTCTGGCTGTTGCAGCCATTTGGGGAGTAAACCAGTGGATTGAAGACCTCGCACTCTCTCTGCCTCTGTCTCTCTGTAACTCTGCCTTCCAAATAAACAAATCATTTTTAAAAAGATGTATCAAGGCTAAAAGACAGGCAGCAAACAGGCTAAGTCAAGATTGGCCACTGCTGTGGTCTGTCCTCCCAAGGTTCATGAGATGGAGGCTGGGCCCTCAGTGTGGCAATGTTCAGAGGTAGGACCTTTAAAAGGTGGGGCCCCAAAGGAGCCCAACCCTTGACTTGCTCTCTGGCTTCTCATCTGGCGATTTGATTTCTCATTCCCACGGGAGCTCCCACCCTCGTGATGCCATCAGCAGAGCTTTCCCCAGAGCTGAGCTGCTGCAGGAACCAGGACTTGAACTTCTAGAACTGAGCTAAGTGAATCTCTTTTTCTTTCCTGAGCCTCAGGTATTTTGTTATAGCAACAACCAAAGACTGGCACGGTCACGAAATGGGTTCACCGCTCTCCTTTTGTGTATGTCCAAAGTTTACATTAAAAATAAAAAAGCACTCACTCCAATGTCCACTGGATCACAAGTTGCTACAACAACTGTTACCAACTTTTACAAATTAAAGAAATTATTAATTGCCAAATTTATGTCAAAAGTTCTGGGAAAGCTGATGACACAGCGACTGTGCACAGTAATTTGTGCAAAGCTTTCATTATACACACAAACACCCATTTGTCACAGGCTAATTGTGTAACATTATCAACCCTAGCACTCACAGTAACAGAGCCATCAGTCACCAGCACCACTCTACACCTACACAATGCATCTCAACAGATCGCTGAGGGACCGGAACCCTCACTGGAAGCGCAGTAACTACCATCACTGGTGAAAGGATGTGTCTGTCCTCATCCTACCAACTTTCCTACTACAATCTCCACCTGACAGCTGTCCAAACTGTACACACAACACACACGAATTAGCATACTGAGGTATAACTGGTACACTCTACAGGTGTACTGTAGGGTGCTACACTGCTGCACCCCAGCATGGCGAAGAGACAGTAATGAGAATTGGCTAGGAGCAACAGAAACTGCAACCTCATGCCTTGTGGCAGAAATTTCTAAACAGTATAGCCACCTTGCAAAAGTTGTCTTTTTTTTTTTAAGTTTAATAGTTTGACTGTAAACCCACCATTCCATGGCTGAGAATTGATGGAAAACGGTAAGAATGTGTCCAGACATCTGTGAATGTCCATGGCATCATTGTTCACAGTAAGAACGCACCTAAGTGTCCACCATCTGGTTAAAGGACAAATGAAGTGCAGTGAATCTCTCAACCACCTCGCAAATAAAGGAGCTAAGTACATCCACGTGACGACAGGGATGAACCTCAAAACCTCTGTACTAATGTGGTGGATGCAAAAGCCTACAAATTCTGTGACTGCTCAACTGACATTCTTAGAACGGGACATTTTAAAAAACTTATTTTACTTATTGGAAAGGTGAAAGCCTGAACTCCCACCCACTGGTTTACACCCTAAATGCTCCCACCAGTGGGGTGGAGTCAAGCAAAAGCTGGGAGCCAGGAACTCTGAGTCTCACACGAGTAGAGGGACCCAACTACTTAAGTCACCACGGCTCTCTCCCAGGGGGCACACTAGCAGGAGGCAGAACCGGAACCTGAAGCCGGCACTCTGATACAGGATTCAGGCACCCCAAGTCGGGTCTGTGCTGGCAGTCAGCCCCAGAAAGGGAAGATCTACACAGAAGCAGCTACATATGGCTGGCTCAGGGTAAGATAACAACTAACTCTAACAGGGCACGAGAGAACTGACGGAAATATCTGAAAACAGGACTGCAATGATCGCAGTACATTTACTGAAAGTACTGAATTGTATACTTACAATGTGTTGAGTTTTATGGTGCACAAATTACATTTCAGTAAAGCTGTCTTTAAAAACTACCATTGCAGGGACCGGCAGGTTGAGCTGCTGTCTGCAGTGCTGGCATCCCATATATATGCCTGTTTAAGTCTCGGCTGCTCCATCTCCGATCCAGCTCCCTGCTAGTGCGCCTGGGAAAGCAGTAGAGGACGGCCAGAGTTCTAGGGCCCCTGCACCTACATGGGAGACCCAGGATAAACTCCTGGCTTCAGTCTGGCCCTGCCCCAGCTGTGGCAACCATTTGGGGAGTGAACCAGCAGATGGAAGATCTCTTGTCTCTCCTCTTTCAAATAAATAAATAAATCTTTTAAAAGAAAAACAACGCTACAACAAAGTCTTAGGCTAACTATTTTAAAGCTCTGGCTGACAGCCTACTCATTTTGTGTAGTTTGAACACACTGAATTTTAATCTAATATTAGCATTGAGAATATTAATTAGCATTTGCTTGAAAACTAAACATACTATATTTAAAGGATTCCAAGGACACTCATCTCTAAATCTTACTATTCAAAGTGCTCTTTCGGCTAGAAACCATGTAATAATATAACACGATCATTGCCTACTGCTTTCATTAGCAGTCTTAGGCATTTTGTCCTGCCCTGTACTATTCCTTTTTTAAAAACCTCTGCCTTAGTATTGTACAAGTTTTATAGCTTCTTGGCCTTTTCGCTGAGATCAAGCGCAAATACTGTACAACTTTTTCATTACATACAAGGTTTTCTCAGACTATTTCGTACCCTGACATAAATATCTTTAATTTTCAGTCAGACTCCATTTCTTTCTATTCCAGAGTCAGATTTGCAAAAAGGCAACATTCTCTTTAAGTCAGCCTTTAAAAATTTTTTTCTTAACTGAGTGATTTGCCCCAATTTAATCTCACATGCAATACTAATGATGTACAACAGATTAAAGTAGAAAGACATAGACGGAGTGGAGGAGATACACCATGTGTGTGCTGTGGCCCAGCCTCAACAAGGACGACAACTGCTCTAAATTACAAGTGAAGTATCCTTTCTGCATTGTACAACTACAACACATTCAACTGAACACAGTGAATTCAACAACCATAACAAATGTAGGAAATTCTTGTAAACTCTCAACTTAAAGGTAACTACAAAATGATCCCCTTTAAGTCTTAAGTATGTTATTTAGGAATTCCATTTATTACAAAGGCTGCACATTTTTCAACCTAACTTCCTAGTTTTGGCAGATTAAGAAAATAAATAAATCAAAGAGAAGTCAGAAGTCACATGAATCGAAAAGACTGACTCTAGCAGAAAGCTGTCAAGTGCACGAGCTCGCCAGTAGGAAATGCCACGAACCCGCTAAGTAGTAAACAGGGTGAGAGCAAGATGGCTCTGCCAACACCAAAACACACAGCACACTCTGCCTCCAGAACCAGGTACAGATAAAGCAAATATTCCACCCAAATGGCAACACATGGTAAGCAGAAAACTGGGAAAGGGATTTGTACTACTAGGAATTTTTCAATTTCTCTTTAACTACAAGACATAAACCTCTTCCCCTCAGAAATCAAAGGTAAAGGTGTCTTGATGTATAACCTTATATGTCTATGAAATAAAACAGAAATCAGTGCTATGATTGTAAAAATGGAGGCAATGAAGAATTCGGAAATATACTCAGGTTTATAATCAGTTAAATGATGAGCCATCATTTGAACCCTAATCATCACATTAGGTAGAAATCACAAGTCAGGTTTGTGTCCTTGGTTATTAAGATATACGTTAAATAGTTCACATTTAAAAACATTGTATCATTACATTATCAAATTTGACAAAATCTTATTAAAACATCTAAGTATTAAATATAAATCATATTGTTAAAAGCATAAAGTAACATTTAACGAAAACTCCTGAGGTGCCAGGTAAGTATTTTCTATTAAATATACACAATTTAACAATCAGAACTATATAAATTAATTCTTGCTAAAAGTGATTCAGTTTTACAAAGGCATGTTTTGGGAACCATTATAAATTTCCCCAGCACCACTTTCCTTTACTATTCCAACTTTTCACTAGGTTTAACTTTCTTCTGTCATTTACATGTAAAAATTACAGGTTTACAATATGTGGTCTTAGTATTAAGTAACATGTTTAAAGACTAAGCAAAGTGCACATTAAACTAACTACAACTACCCCAACTTTTTGACTGATTATCAGGAAAATAAATAAATAAATAAATACACACTTTATTCACTTGCATCTTTCTGAGGGGGGAAAAATAGTATACCTTGCTTAAATCAGAACTCTCCAGTAAGGATATGATGTAAAAGACTTCCCATATTATTCTGTTGAGTAAATTTAATTTCTCTCATCAAAATTCTTTAAGTCAAATGAAGGACACAAACTTACAATGCCATATTACATGACCACAGTACTGTTAATTAAATAAAGCAGCGCAAGCATAGTTGTAAACATTTTCAATGTAGTAAACAAGACTTGGCATGTCTTTTCTTCCCAAAACTTGCCATTACAATGTGTGAATAATTATTCTCCCTAAGAAAGCTTTCAGGTAATTGTAGTCTTTAAAAAACTGTACACTGAAATAATATGTGAAAAGATCTAGTCATGGCAATTTCACTGTAGCTTTTATTGCCTCTGTTGGTAATAAGACAGGGATCGTAAGAAACACAATTGAATTTACAGAGATATGCGGATGATAGTCACTAACCTTGATCTCAAGTATTTTTATATGTGGGCACTTCTAATTTTACACATTTTACTATTTAAAAAGCATTACATTTTAAAATGTGTATCTGTTCTGACATTTGGCAAAAAGGAAACTGTACCTGTGATTCAGTTTAAAACAAATAATCAGCATGGGGAGTTTACCAGAATGAAGACGGAAACACTCATGAGTTAAAGCAATTCAAAATATGCTCTGTGTGTGTGTGTGTGTGTGTGTGTGTTCTTGCTCTCACACTCTCTCAGACATACGCACACACATGGCCACACGTGTTAGCAGTTTTTAGTACAAAATATTCCCTGTAACCAGACATTTATCCTCATAATAATCACAGCACATTAAATCAGTCTTCTCTTTTCAGCCCTAGTAATAGTTTTAATTCTAAGATGCCATCATAGTGAACAACCTTATCTTTTATGCTACATAATTATATTCAAAGCTTTATGTATTTTTGTTTATAATTACACAGTAATTATAAATGTTTAGTACCAAACTGATGACAAGCACTATTTTGTTGAAAAGGTCTTGCATTTCAATGGAAAAATCTGTAAAACCCAAGGCACTGGGCCATGAACCAATAAAGAGTTCTATGAAAAACAATTTATATAAAAAAAAGTTAATGGAATCGCATTTCAAAATATAGCATACTTGAATTCATCTGAAAACAATTCCATAACTCAAATCTTCAAGACAGGACACAAAATAGCACACACACACATACATATATATATATATCTTTTTAAAATTTTTCATAATTGAAGTTCCTCTTTATATTTACAAAACTGAAATCAGGAAATACTGAAAGCAGCAGGATTCTTCTTTTTTCTTTTAATAACCAATTCCAGTTACCTGAATAAAGATTTTCAAATGTTTCTTTTGGTAGAACTGCATTCTTGAATTAAAGTTATGACTGCAATATTAACATAATTATCTATGGGGTAAGCCTTCTAGTCAATTTCAAAATCATGTAAATAAAAAGCAGTTTCAATGTCACTGTTTCTTAAAATCATTTCCACATCTGCATAACACGTGACTGCTGTTGTGAAGTACACACCTTCATTCCACACCAACGCTAGACCATAGAGAGCGCCTGGGTAAACCAAGCAAAGCCGATTCCTATCTCCAGACCCTAGCCATCCAGCATCAGAAGTATCATCTCTTTCACCTGCCTTGCGGAAATGTCCAAGAAAGCAACAAACCCTTCCTAGGGTGGCAGTGAGTGAACAGAGATATGAGCATTCTTAGCAGGAAAGCAGTTCATGGGTCTTGTAATGAAAAAAACACATACAAGATAGCATTCTGCTTTGATGTGAAAATGGAGCTATCTGAGCAAAACAAAAACAGTAAAGAGATTAAATAACTTATGAAAATAGAAGCCAGATTGGTATTTTGCATCAAGTATGTGCTTGTTTAAAAATTTGCTCCTGAAGTACATATTTGGCAACCACAGTGATTAGCAATTAAAGCAATTTCAACAAAATAAGAAGTCATCAAAAATGGACTATCTGTCTGAAAGAGTAGTACCTATATTATATAAAGATTGAACTTCATGGCTCATCACAACCATTTTCAAAATTTAATTCCTACTATCTTCTTATAAATTAAGAGAATTTCATTTGTGTTCCATAGTGCGATGACTGAAAAAAACCAAAAAATTTTTAAAAAGCCCTCATGCCTAAATTTGGAATATTGTATTGTGTAGCAATCCAAAACATTCAAAACAAATTAAATAGTTTAACTTATTTGACAGGCATATAAGCATTTCAAAAGCATAATGAAATCCAATTATGTGGTGCATAATGTAGACAGGAGTGGACCTCACATTATGCAGGCATTTTCTAGAGAAAAGCTCCCTGTAGGACAGCGATATATAAACATTGGTAAGGTAAGTGCACACTAGTTCTGTGGAACCTTTTTGAAATCAAGTCTGAAACACAATACATTTTTCAGGTAGGCACCAAGTTATCCAAAAAAAAAAAATTTCACGTTGGTTATTTTGACATTTTTCACCAGATACTCTACTCACATCAATACATGTGATTTGCCAGGAAAAAAAAATCCCCCCAAACCAAAACACCATTCCAGATCTGGTACACTTAAATATACCACTCTCATTGGAAGTGCTATCAGCATAGTCTTTGCAACTAGCCCAAAGCATATATTTAAGAAGTTTTTATAAATTGTTTGTGATGTTCATATGTTTAATTTTTATGCCAAACTGTTTTCTGATGAAGACAGCATTGTGCTTTATGCAAGAATGGAAACCTCAAAATAATCACCATAAAGCTTCTAAGACTTATGGGAGAATGAACTAGGATGGTCCACAGATATAAGATGAAATCCACAATGTTGGAATTATAAATGTTTAGAGCGGCCCAGACTAGAAGACAAGCCCAAACCACCATTAGAAGAATGAAATACGATATGGTCCAAGATGTATCCTTAAAGTTTGTCTCAACCCTCAGTTTGAATTGTGAGGATTGATCTTCAGTTCAGTCCAGCCAGCAGAAATTGACTGTGCAATTTTCCGTTGTATTTATTGTACAGACTATGTACATTCTAGAAGGTTCCTTTAGTGCTACACTGTTGTACTTTTTGTCCCAGCAATTTGAGGGCGTGCAAATTCCACAAAGTCATCAATAAGAACAGGCCAAGCTCCTGGAAAAAAGAAAAAACATGGAAGAAAGGGAAGAAATAAGGCTAACACTGTAGTAGAATCTTTTTTTTAAAATACTTTCCTCAGAAGAATGAAAGTATATAGCATTATCTATTCTCATGGATTAACTCTTTCAAACCTCAAGCATTTTTGAGTTAAAATATTCTTTGTATTCCTTCTAATCTATCATTCCAGTATTTGATTGTTCCTTAGGTGGTAAAAATAACTCCTTTAGCAATCAATAATATTATAGTTTTCTGAGGCCACTGGAGTCAGGCAGAGAGGCAATCTAGCCAGAGCTGGCAGCCTAATGGATGGCCACAGCACGATAGCACACTCTCTGTGCCGAAAGCACAAAGGGGAAACACGTGTTCAGGCATTCTGTGCCGATCTTAGAAAGGAAATTAACAGCAAATATCAAATTCCATCCTACTTCATGATAATAAATTACTCAAAGTTTTAAGATTGCACATATAAATGCCTCTACACAATCACTCGCCAATCTCCAAATCAAGAAGTTCCTAAGTTGGTATTAAAGCCTAAAAGAAAGCGCAATTATTACGGCTGGCGCCGTGGCTCACTAGGCTAATCCTCCGCCTTGCGGCGCCGGCACACCGGGTTCTAGTCCCGGTCGGGGCGCCGGATTCTGTCCCGGTTGCCCCTCTTCCAGGCCGGCTCTCTGCTGTGGCCAGGGAGTGCAGTGGAGGATGGCCCAAGTGCTTGGGCCCTGCACCCCATGGGAGACCAGGAGAAGCACCTGGCTCCTGCCATCGGATCAGCGCGGTGCACTGGCCGCAGCGCGCCGGCCGTGGCGGCCATTGGAGGGTGAACCAACGGCAAAGGAAGACCTTTTTCTCTGACTCTCTCTTTCATTGTCCACTCTGCCTGTCAAAAAAAAAAAAAGAAAAAAAAAAGCGTAATTATCAGTCATATGCAGGAGTAAACATGCCTCACTTTTTAGTAAAAACTATAAATGACATTGAAAAGCAAGAGAAAAAGTAACATCCTTAATTACTGTGAACAGTTACAGGACACTTTTTTAAGATTTATTTTATTTGAAAGGCAGAGTGGCAGCTTTACCTGCTACACAACAGCACTGGCCCCTACAGGACACGTTTAGAGGTGCCAAGGTCACAGAAGATTTTTTTTCAAAAAATACATTTGTCTATTCAACAGTCTCAGGAAACACATTCTGTGGGAGAAGCCTCAGACCTAGCGGTTAAGACGCCAGGTGCTTGCATTCAGTGTCAGCAACCTACTCAGCTGCAGCCTCCTGCTACCACGGGTCGTGGGAGGTGGCAGGTGATGCCTAGCAGTTGGGCCCTTGCCATGCGTGTGGAAGGCCTGGACTGATTTCCCAGCTCCAGGCTTTGGCCTGTGAAAGTCTGGTTTTTGCAGGCATTTAGGAATGAAGCAGCATACGAGAGCTCATTTGCTCTGTTTCTCAAATAAACAAAATTCAAAAATACATAACAGTAGTTCTCAAGGAAGACTAGGTAAGTATGTATGACACAGTCAGGGTCACTGCCATTTCTAGATAAACAAAAATGCATGTCCCTGCTAGTAGATGGTGGCATCATCTTTATTATACACAGGAGGAAATGGCAGAGAAGTATTTACTGAATGCTAATACTATATTTGGCAGCTAAAGTACACCTCAAATTAGTCTAACGTGAAGAAGTTTATAATCAAGCTTATACACAATAAAAATACATACAAATATGTATAAAAGTATATGAAGAAGACAATAGGTTTCTTTTTTTTTTTTTTTTGACAGGCAAAGTGGACAGTGAGAAAGAGAGAGACAGAGAGAAAGGTCTTCCTTTGCCGTTGGTTCACCCTCCAATGGCCGCCACGGCCAGCGCGCTGCGGCCTGCACACCGCACTGATCCGAAGGCAGGAGCCAGGTACTTATCCTGGTCTCCCATGGGGTGCAGGGTCCAAGCACTTGGGCCATCCTCCACTGCACTCCCTGGCCACAGCAGAGAGCCGGCCTGGAAGAGGGGCAGCCGGGACAGAATCCGGCGCCCCGACCGGGACTAGAACCCGGTGTGCCAGCACCACAAGGCAGAGGATTAGCCTAGTGAGCCACGGTGCCGGCCCAATAGGTTTCTAAAATAAACTTTATTTATTTGAAAGACAGAGTTACAGAGAGAGGTGGAAACAGAGAGAGAGGTCTTCCATCCACTGGTTCACTTCCCAGATGGCCTGCATCGGCCAGAGTTGTGCCAATCCGAAGCCAGAAGCCAGGATCTTCCTCAGGGTCTCCCACGTGGGTGCAGGGGCCCAAGGACTTGGGGTCATCCTCCACTGCTATCCCAGGCCATAGCAGAGAGTTGGATCAGAAGAGGAGCAGCTGGGACTAGAACTGGTGCCCATATGGAATGTCGGCGCTTCAGGCCAAGGCTTTAACCCGCTGTGCCACAGCGCTGGCCATAAAATAAACTTTAGATCTATAACACAGATGAAAATTACTTAAGCCTTGGGGCTGGTGTTGTGACATAGCAGGTTAAGCCATCACTTGCAATGCTGACAATCCCATTTGGGCACAGGTTTGAGTCCTGGCTGCTCCATTTCTGATCCAGCTCCCTGCTAATGGCCTGGGAAAGCAAAAGATAGCCAAAGTGCTTGGCCCTTGCATCCACATGGGGAGACCCAGATATCTGAAGCTCCTGGTTCCTGGTTTCCATATTGCCCAGCCCCAGCCATTGTGGCCATGCGGGATATGAACCAGCTGATGGAAGATCCCTCTATCTCTCCCTCACTCTCTGTAGCTCTTTCAAATAAACAAACAAAAATCTTTTAAAAAAAGAAAGAGGGGCTGGTGCTGTGGCATAGCTCCATTTCCAATCCAGCTCCCTGCTAATGGTCTAGGAAAAGCAGCAGTAGATGACCCAAGTGCTTGGGCCCCTGCACCTATGTGGGGACCCGGATGAAGCTCCTAGCTCCAGCCAACTGTTGCCACCATTTGAGGAGTGAACCAGTGGATGGAAGATTTCTCCTTCTCCGCCTCTGCCTCTCCCTCTTTGTTACTCTGTAGCAACATATTTAGCGCTCATAGTATATCAGTGTTTTTTTTCCAAAAAAAAAGAAAAAAATGGAAATTACTTATGCTTTTCTGGAAGATATGAAAACTGGCTGGAATTTAAAGAAACACAAGAATGGAATGGTAAAGAGGATGAAAGCAATTCATACATTCAGAAGACAGAAATCCAACTCTAAGAAAAAAAGAAGTGGGTAAGAAGTTCAGGGAAAAAATGATAAAAAAGAGGCTATTTAAAGAAAACTAGTAAGGCAAAAATTTTCATTACCTTCTTCATCATAATTAGACATGTCATCTGCGATCATTGTACTGAAGTCTAAAAGAAGATTCCAAGTATCTTTTGGTATCGATCGTTTATGATGCTCCTATGAAAAAAATATTAAAATCACTAAAAAGAGCTGGAAGAAAATTGTCCAGACAATGCTAAATACAAGAATGCAAAACAACTGTACAATGAATTTGTGATAATCAAATTCCTCATTCTATGTCCATTACATGCTCTGAGGTGAATTAGTCATGCTTTAAAATATGTTCATTAATCTTTAACCACTGTAGAATTTTACAGAAAACATGCAACTGTAGAAAATGTGAACTTACCAACAAAAATTTATTCCATAAGTCTAAGAATTTAAATCTTCCATTAAGCACTAAGTTCCAGTAGGCAATGGCCATTTCTAGATCTGTAATATTAAAAATACATTAAGTATTTCAATGCTACAAACATTTGTCCCTGTAAAAGAAAAAGATGGAAGAAATCCTTTTGAAAGAACAATATTAAGTTTCCTGAATACTTACTGTATTAAAAATTTCCTACATTATGTCCAGCCTCCTCATCAATGACCAGTCTCTTCAGAGTAAAAATATTAACAGCACTTATCTCTCCGGGGTGTTTCAAAGTTTAAATCAGATAATACAGTCAAGCAGACCTGACTTCTTATAAGTATCAAATGTTAATGCACATCAGAGTTTCTCAGCCTCAACACTTTTGACATTTTGGATCAGACAATTTGTTGTTGGGAGCTATCATTCTAGGGATTTTTTTATTTTATTTATTTATTTATTTTAAGATTTGAAAGGCAGAGTTACAGAAAGAGAAGAGACACAGAGAGAGGGAGGGAGATAGTGAGAGATCTTCCAACACTGGTTCACTCCCCCAATGGCCTCCACATCCAGGACCGGCCAGGCCAAAGCCAAAAGCCTGGAACTTCTTCCAGGACTCTTGTGAGTGCAGGGGCCAAAAGACTTGGGCTATCTTCTGCTGCTTTCCCGGGTGTGCTAGTAGGGAGCTGGATAGGAAGTGGAGCAGCCAGGCCTTGAACAGCCACACATATAGGATGCCGGTATCACAAGCAGAGGCTTAATGTGCTACACCACAATGCCAGTCCTGTTTTCTAGGAAATTTAGTGGCATATTTGGCCTCTACCCATTAGATGCCAGTAGCCACTTCACTTTTCCCCAGTGGTGACAAACAAAAATGTCTCCAGATATTGCTCCCACTTGAGAATCATGATGTACACCTACAGGCCAGAATGCAAAGGACTCTACTCACAATCCTAATGAAGCTTATGTTTCAAGGTATTGGCTGACTGATCCTGACCACAAGGAAACCATAAAGAATATTATTTTAAAAATTAAAGTAAGATTTTTGTAAAAGATTTATTTTATTTATTAGAAAGAGGAAGAGGCAGAGAGAAAGATATCCTCCATCCACTGGTTCACCCCCCCCAAATGGCTGTGACAGTCGGGGTAGGCTAGGCTGAAATCAGGAGCGAGAAACTCCTCCCACAGATGGATGGGAGGGTGGCAGGGGTCCAAGGCCACCTTCTGCTGCCTTCCCAGGTGCATTAGCAGGGAGCTGGATCAAATGCAGAGCAATCAGGACTTGAACTGGAACTCCAATATGGAATGCCAGTGTTGCAAGTGGCAGCTTAACCTGCTGCACCACAATGCCAGTCCATTAGGTATTATTTTTAAAGTTTGTCAGGATGGGCATTTAGCCTAGTAGTTAAGATGCTAATTTGGAGGCCTGCATCCTATAGCAGAGTGCCTGAGTTTGTACCTTGTGCCACTCCTGACTCAGTTTCCTAATGGAGACCCTGGGAGATCGTAGTGATGGCTCAAATCACTGGGTTCCTGCCACCCACTTAAGGGCTAGACTGAGTTCCCAGGCTCTTGTGGGCATCTGGGTAGTAAACCAACAGATGGGGCAGTCTTTCTATCGGTATCTATCTCTGCCTGTCTGCCTCTTAAATAAAAATGAAGTTTACCAAAGACAACATAAATGGCCTTTGAACTGGGCATGGAGCAGAGAAGGTTAAAGCAGCAGCTCTGCCTCCTGACAAAGACTGCACCTTTCATACGACAGAGAAGAACTATGATCTCCTTCAAGGAATCCAAGAAGGTAAGAAGGTATCTAGCTTGCATGAGTGAACTGATCTCTCCAGGACAAAGAAAATGATACCCTAAGTAACTTAAAAATCCTTTTAGATGTGATCTCAAAACCACATTTGATGCCAGCACTGTGGCATAGCGGGTTAAGCCACCGCCTGCAGTGCCAGCATCCCATATGGGCACTTCACTTCTGATCCAGCTCTCTGCCGGGAAAGCAGTAGAAGATGGCCCAAGGCCTTGGGCCCCTGCACCCACGTGGGAGACCCAGAAGAAGCTCCTGGATCCTGGCTTCGAATTGGCACAGCTCCAGCTGCTGCAGCCATCTGGGGCCTGAACCAGCAGATGGAAGACCTCTCTCTCTGTCTCTACCTCTCTCTGTAACTCTTTCAAATAAATAAATAAATCTTAAAAAAAAAAAAAAACTATGTTTAATAAACCAAGGAGCATAAGAAAGTCAGAAAGACAGAGATGAGCAAGTATTATCCCAATTTTTTTTTTTTTTTTTTTTTTGACAGGCAGAGTGGATAGTGGGAGAAAGAGACAGAGAGAAAGGTCTTCCTTTGCCGTTGGTTCACCCTCCAATGGCTGCCACGGCTGGCGCGCTGCGGCCTGCACACCGTGCTGATCCGATGGCAGGAGCCAGGTGCTTCTCCTGGTCTCCCATGGGGTGCAGGGCCCAAGCACCTGGGCCATCCTCCACTGCCTTCCCGGGCCACAGCAGAGAGCTGGCCTGGAAGAGGGGCAACCGGGACAGAATCCGGCACCCCAACCGGGACTAGAACCCAGTGTGCCGGCGCCGCTAGGTGGAGGATTAGCCTAGTGAGCCACGGCGCCAGCCGTATTATCCCAATTTTTAAAACACAGTAAAAAGGAGTGCACTTAATGCTGATTAACTGACAAAACCAAACATCCAACCACTAGAATCATGCAAGGGTATTAATAAATCATTAAGAATGAATCTCACTTTCTTTTATGAGAATTCTTAGAGTGACAGAAGAAAGGTTTAATACCTCTCTCATGACACAGAAATTTTTCTATCACATAAAGAGAACCTGAAACCACGATGGTGAAAAGTTAACTGATTAAACAATCATTTCCCTTAGCATCAATGAAGCATCAAAGAAGAAGCTGGAGGAAAATCTCTCCAAGAATATGACTATACTATCAATTCCATACTATCCAACAACCTCATCAATGACGTCAGCAAAACTATGCAAATGCGTGGCTATATCTAAAGAAAGCGCAAAGGTAAGGAAGGGTCAATACAATAGATTATTAACATGATATAGCACCTAACCATAGTTGTCTTCCAACGGGCACTATCCTCCTAGGGACTCTAAATAAGAAGGGAGTGCAACAACTTTTATCAAAATTCAATTAAAATTGTGAAGCCAGTTAGTCTTTTTTTTTTAACTTTTATTTAATGAATATAAATTTCCAAAGTACAGCTTATGGATTATAATGGCTTTCCCCCCCCCCATAACTTCCCTCCCACCTGCAGCCCTCCCCTCTCCCGCTCCCTCTCCCTCTCCATTCACATCAAGATTCATTTTCAATTCTCTTTATATACAGAAGATCAATTTAGCATATATTAAGTAAAGATTTCAACAGTTTGCACCCACACAGAAACACAAAGTATAAAGTACTGTTTGAGTACTAGTTATAGCACTAAATCACAACGTACAGCACATTTAGGACAGAGATCCTACATGAGGAGTAAGTGCACAGTGACTCCTGTTGTTGACTTAACAAAATGACACTCTTGTTTATAACATCAGTAATCACCCTAGGCTCTTGTCATGAGTTGCCAAGGCTACAGCCAGTTAATCTTATCTATCATACTATATGTTACCCAAAAATGTAAACACCTCAGTTCCGTATCTTTCTGTGCCATGATTCCAATCCCCATAACTATGATTTGCTTCCCCTGATTTTGTTCTCCATCTGTCCTCCCTTCCTAACCCTACTGTGCTCTCAGAATGCCACCTGCAACACGATGCACCCTCCTGAACTTTTTGCAGAGGATGAGCCCTCAACCCCCTGATGCTGCCTTCCAGGCTGGCTCTACCGCTAGGCACTACGTCCAATGCTGTTCTCTCATCAGCTCACAATCACTCTCCTACAGGAGCACGGACACCTTGGAATGCTACCACTACCTCCAGGTCATTATTCTCTCCCTTCTTGGAAACACACACCAGCTTGCTCTGTCACTTTATCCCTCCTCATCTGACATCTGACAAGCTCCTGTTCAAACCTGCCACATTCCCTGATGTGTCTGGCACTTCTTCCCCAGTCGGTCTTGATCCCAAGTTCTGACATCATCCTGAAGGCCTTCAATGGCCATGTAAGAAGCCATACAGCCCTGTGACCTGTCAGCACTGATCTTGCCTCCTCTCTGGTCCAAACCAACCATATCTTAGACCTTCATCTCTGGATCATTCCCAAGTGTTTTGACTTTTAAGCTTTAAAATCCAACATCTCACACTGATCCTTAATCATTGTGGCTCTTCCTCCTATTCCCACCATATCTACTCTTAAACATCATCAAAATCTGAGTTCTTCCTTCTCTTTCCATGGTGCCTTATTCCAACCAAACCCTTCCTACAACCACTTACAACTTTTCCTTTGCCTATCTTTTTTTAAAAATTTTTTAATTTTATTCTTATTATTTTTTTTGACAGGCAGAGTTAGTGAGAGAAAGAGACAGAGAAAGGTCTTCCTTTCCATTGGTTCACCCCCCAAATGGCTGCCACAGCTGGTGCGCTGCACCGATCCAAAGCCAGGAGCCAGATGCTTCCTCTTGGTCTCCCATGCAGGTGCAGGCCCAAGCACTTGGGCCATCCTCCACTGCCTTCCCAGGCCACAGCAGAGAGCTGGCCTGGAAGAGGAGCAACCAGGATAGAATCCGGCGCCCCAATCGGGACTAGAACCCGGGGTGCCGGCGTCGCAGGCAGAGGATTAGCCTAGTGAGCCACAGCGCCAGCCACCTTTGCCTATCTTTCAGCTATAACTGCTCTGAAAAATCCTAACCCCAGATGAATACAATCTTTAACAATCTGAGAAAAATAGCATTTCAACAATAATGGCACCAAGTTAATATCCTACAACTTTGGCAAAGTTCTTCAACATTTTGACTGCTAGAAACGGCACTTCTTCAATTTCTCCTGGAAGACTTTTCAATTTCCTTAACTCCCTTACTCCAATTCTATAAGCAGATAATCTTATTTCCTATCTCAAAGAAAAATATATAGGCCATAAGGGAGAAAATCTCCCATGTCACTGGACCTTA